GTCATTCCAGCTTGAAAATGCAAACAGCTAATTTTTAAAACAACACTCCAGACAAGATATATCCTCAGTGCATTGGTTCGATTGCATAACTTCCCTCTCTACTACCATGCATTATTCATTCATGCAGCAGCCACAACTTCCAAGTGTGAGATACTCCAGTGAATTCTGCTGTGCTTTAAAAATTCAGGCTCCTTCCCATTCCCCATGATCCCCTTCTACTCCCCGACTTCTTTGGTTATTTCAGGTTATATACTCAAACCTAAGGACCCAGAAGTAAGATCCACAAGTAAGAGAGAATATGCTGTACTGTGGTCTGGGTTACCTCACTCAGCATAGCATTTTCTAGTTCTATGAATTTACCTGTAAATGTAATTGATTCTCCTTAACATGAAAAGGAAGCTTCATCCATGAAATCTCAACTACATGGTTGCCTACATAAAACCTACGCAATGGTGTCCCCAATTGACATGGCAACTTAGATGGCAGAAATTTCACAAGGTCCCTAATGTAGATGAAGAGCTACAGACAATCAATGGTTGCTGAGTGAGGGAGAATCAATTTCTCTCCAGGGACAAGCTCCCTGATAGGTTATCCTATCCCAAGTACATACTCTTGCATGCAAGTAATGCTAAACAGGACTCAGTAGGTTATTTGTTTGTATGTGGATGCATACATGTAATGATATAATTAAAGAAGATATGAATTTGAGAGCAAGTGGGGGATACAATGAGGAGTTGCAATAGGGATGAGAGTGGTAATTATGTAAATATAGTAATTGAAAAAAATTTTAAATTTAAAATAAAATAGAAACTCAGTTTCTGCAACCCATGGCTGGCCTGGTCTCCTACATCTTCATCTAATGCACACATGGGTCCTCCCTCTTCACCCTGCTTACACACATTACTAAACTTCCTATTTCAAACACACACATTGACTCTATTATGGTCACACTATATTATCCAAGGAACTCCACTGCATGTAACAGAACATCTCCATAACAAAGACAAAACAAACAAAAACCACAGGACTATGTTCCCTGATTTTAACTCTACTCCTAGACCAACCCCAGCTCGTAGTGTGCATAGAGGTGGGCTTGTGGGGGAGGGTTGGGGTAATGTTCTGCTAACCTGTCTAAAGCTATATTCCATGCTACTTCTTAGCTCTTCATAGCTCCAAGATAGTCCAAATATTCAGACTCTGAGAGGACTAGAATGTTTGAAAGCTGCTAGCTGTGACCTTTACTGCCGTAGAGAACCAGGGCCTGACTTTCTCAAAGCTCAGTGTGTGTCAGTGTTCTCAGACTGGAATCCCAGGAGTGACAATCTGAAAGTCCTGACTGGAGCTAACAACCTTCTTGAGAATGACATGGACTTCCTAGCAAATTTGGACACAAGTATATCAATCCTAGAATTCATTGGATATTTCAGGTTTCTTCCCTAGATTTCAGTTAGCATTTATTTCTTATCCTGCATAGAAGCAGTTAGTTCTTTATAAACACTAAGGTGAAAACTAGGGGATTATCTAAGCAATAGAAAATTCTGTCTTTGAATCAAAAATAAGCCAGCAAAGAACCAGGAATAAAACCTTGCATGCTTTACAAATATAATTAATTAGTTATCTTAACCTGACTGAAAACACTTGATAAAGGACTTAGTCATGAAAGATATAGACTTCCTTAATGAAACAAAACCACTTTTATTCATGAAGACTTTTAATGAAACTCTTCGGATATTTTCCTTGTCCAGGATTTGAGAATGGAACTTAAGAATGAATTTAGCCATAGCTAAATTTTGCTCTCGTACTGAACACTGGTTAAATGCATCTCAAAAAACAAACAAACAAAAAAGGTAGAAATAACAGAGTCAGGTCCACCTTCTCATACAATGAAGGGCAAGGGAAGTATGCTCTTAATTGTGTTAGGACTGAAGATCTGGTCCTATTGAGTTGCTAAGAGAAAATGAAATGCACACCATTTCCAGCCCTTGCCTCACAACTTAATTCACTGTAGTAAACCTCACGTCCTTCTCTGGTGGTTTTGGAGACACACTAATGGAGCCTGGTGAGGATGGAACTTAGTAAGTGAGATGCCTCTCCCCCTGAGCAGTCTCCCAATCTTTAAAAGGGGAAGCACTGCATAGCTTGACTCCTCCTGTGTCATAATTAAAGCATGGTGAAAGAGGAGGTGGGAGCCAGAATCATTGCCTGTCCTGCACATCCAAATATGCAGATAACTTCACAGTTTTATTCTTCCTCTTGATGATGATATTCTAAGTGACTGCTTACAACCTAGTATAACAGGACATTGCATGCCAAACTTCATCCAGGACAGTTATTGCTAAGTAAGGACTTAAACATACACTTTCCAAAAGCCATTGACCCACAGAGGGCAAGAAGTAGCCAAGGAAAGGGTCTGGGAGATGACTTTTTATTTTGTGGTTGTTGTTTTCTCAAGTAAGGTATTAAGTCATTGGGGGCTTCTGAAAAGTGTATGGCTTTATGTTAACTAAACAGAGGGGCTTGTGAATGGAGACCTTGGAGATCTACAGTGTGAGCAAGTCAGAGGCCAGGGTTTACAGGAGATTCCTGGTGGATTTTGTAGGGTCACGCATAAGAATGCTCATAGTGGGGTTGCTGCTAATAGTATTACCTGTGTATTTACAAAATCATCATCATCATAATGAAGACCAGGAGGGCAGTATGGGCTTCCTCCAGAGACACCAAGCTATAAAAGACCTGTCTTTCTTTTGTGCATTGAAACTGTTTAATTCAATTCAGTTAGGGTTCTCTACTTCAGAACAAACTAGAAACAGTGAGTTTTAGCCCCCTCCCTAGAGGAAATGTGCTCATCTCTGCCTTTTGTCCCTTTTCATCTAGTTTTGGTACAAGGTGTTGACTGGCTGCAATCATTATCCTTAATTGGCCCTTTTCAAGGCTGAGCTCCTCTGTGGCCTGGCCTACCTGCCTTAATTTTATGTGTCAGGTCCATGTTCACAACTTGTATAGGTCTGCTGTGGAGAATGGCAAGTGCTTATGGGGAGTGTTAATTCCATAATACAGCAGGTGCTAAAGCAACAGCTGATTGTGTCAAGAGTGACAGTGTCACTTGTTTATGGTTAAATGTGCCCACAAAGGAGTGCATCCTAAGTAGTAGCTGGTGTTTTCATGAAGACTTTCAAAGCCTTGCCCACAAAGTCCAACTTTTCCCCAACTATTAACCACTGAGCATCACGTGCAGACATACTGCTCTCTTCCTCTTTATCTTTCAGTTTTTCTTTTTTGTTTTAGCTTTGATAGGAAAAACTCCAATAATTGGAGTGTAAGTTATTAATGTTTATCATTTAAGTAAGAACGGAAGACATCTAATGTCAAAGTAGGAAGACAGCATCTTCCTGCCCGACTGATCAGGTTGCTAAAGATCAGATAATACTCACAAAGCTATCCCTGCTTCATTGGCTTACAGAGTGCTTCCTTCTTTCAGTTTTTTAATAAATTTTATTTAAACTGGAAACAATCTTATTTTACATATCAATCCCAGTTCCCTCTCTCTCCTATCCTTCCATGCCCTCCACTGACCCCCCATCCCATCCCCCGTCCACTCCCCAGGGAGAGTGAGGCTTTCTATGAGCGATCATCAAAATCTGTCAAGTCATTTGGGGCAGGGCCTAAGCCCTTCCCTGTGTATCTAGGCTAACAGAGTATTCCTCCATGAGAAATGGGCTCCCGAAGTCCTTTCATGCACTAGGGATACATCCTGGTTCCACTGCCAGAGGCCCCATAGGCTGGCTTCCCAGTGCTCCTAGATGACACCCTCCAAGTTCAGGGGGCCTGGTTTGGTCCCCTGCTGTCAGACTGGAGTCCACGAGTTCCCACTTGCTCAGGTCAGCTGTTTCTGTGGGTTCCCCAGCATGGTCTTGACCACTTTGTTCGTCACTCCTTCCTCTCTGAAACTGGATTCCTGGAGTTTGGCTCAGTGCTTAGCTATGGATCTCTGCTTCTGCTCCCATCAGCTACTGGATGAAGCGTCTAGGATGGCATTTAAGGTAGCCATCATTCTCATTATAGGGGAAGGGCATTTAAGGTATCCTCTCCACTATTGCTTAGATTCCTAGTTGGAGGGGTCATCCTTGTGGATCTCTGTGCAATTTCCTAATGCCAGATTTCTCTTTAAACCTATAGTGGCTAGCAATGGAAGTTGTAGCTGCAATTAAATGGCCATTTGGAAACATTTTTCTTTGGAAATGTGTGTTTGGTTTTATTCAAATGCTTTTGGTTTAAGTTTCAAAAGCCTACCATTTTCGTGCTTTCTTCATATGAAGAGCCATCTGGAAATATGCTTCCACAGTTTCCAACACACACACACACACATACACACACACACACACACACACCTGCATTTGCAAAATGACCCTTTACTTTTCAGCTGATGTCTCTGCGGAGTTTTGTACAAAAAGGTACGTGCTTATTTCTCAGAAATAGATCAACACTTTTGACAGCAATAAAAACATCAGATAAGTGCAGTGTGCACCGAGTCTGCTTCAATTCAGTGCTGAACAAGTTAATATTGAGACAATATCAGCTGTTCTCTTTTTGGCTGCGATGGTAATTATTTGGAGGGTTTGTGTTTGTGTTTGTGTTTGTTTTTGTTTCAGTTTACGAGTATTGCATGAAGTTCCTTTCCTTTAAAAAAAAAAGAGCAGGAATCTTCATTCTTTTAAAATAATAAATTACTTTAACCTGATATTGCAAATGGAAAGTTAAATGGCAGGGTCAAGACAAAATTCTACCAAGGTGGTTGTCAGGTAAGGAGTCCAAAGAGACAGAAATCAAAAGGAACAAGAATGCTGTGTTTAATCTCCATCAGAAATGATTTTTTTTAATCCTGGAAAGATTCCTTCCCCAGTTTCCTTTAGGAACAAACTACTAACGCTGGTGTTCAGCCACTCCTCAGAGACCTGCCAACCCTCAAGTTACCAAAAAACGTGCAGAGATGCTCTCCTTACCTGTCGTGAAAACAGTGCACCAGCCTAGTCAATGCTGTAACCGTCTTCCGCAGGTCCTGAGCAAGGGACCCCGGAGTCCCAACAAGTGAGGAAATGTGATCATGGGAAAACATGGTCATTGAGTGCTCCATGAGAGTCGCTTTACTCCGGACGCGATAACCCTTCTGTGTCTCTCACCGGGAGCCCCTCTGGCTAATCGGGAACGGGAACCTGTCATTTCTGCTCCATCATCCACACCGCTGTTTTAAGGACTGCGGGCGGGCACGTGAGAGGAGGAAGACCCGCAATCACGGAGCCTGCACACGCTTCAGCTGGGTATTCCGAAGACCTCTGGCTGCTCTGCTGCCGCTGAGGACCCAAGCCAGGCGCCGTGCAGCGATCGGCTTTCCAGCAAGGAACAGCAGCTGCGCACAAGCCGGCTCCCTTCAGTTCTAGTGCTAGCTAGCTGCTGTGCCAAGGGAAGCTCTCAGAAAGCGGCCGTCTACTGAGCATGCTCAGGCCCCAGCTGTCTCTCCAGGGCCTGTCAACTGTTGACATCTCTCTCTCTATATATATATATATGACACCGAGGAAGTGGTACAAGATGAGATTCGGTGGAGGTAATTTTCAATTTGGGCATGACCTCCGCCCCCACCCTTCCGCTGTGAAAGGAAAACAAAGATGCCCTGCTGTGGATTTAGCAATTCTTTTGACAGGTTGACAGGACCGTTTTGGAAGCTATCAATAGCTTTTAATCTTAAATGTCCCTGTGCAATTAAATCGCCCTTGAGGTCAAGCGCCCTGGCATTGAAGAGCAGTGAAACCCATTACTATCATTGATAGCTTAGGTATAGAATTGCCTATATTTGAAAGTTTAAGCAGTGAGCCACAAAATTATTGATCGCTGTGTGTATAATCTGCTACCTAGACTAATTTCTTTTTTTATTTAAATTAGAAACAAGCTTGCTTCACATGTCAATCCCAGCTCTCTCTCCCTCCCCTCCTTCCCCCCCCCCCGCTCCCCACCAGCCCCCCTCAATCCTCACTCTGTTCCACAGGGTGAGTGAGGCCCTCCATGGGGGCATCTCCAGACCTAGACTAATTTCTTAAAGCAGTGCTCTATAAAATGATTTTCAACATGCAAGATGGAAACGTTAATCTACATATTATGTTGATACATATATTAATCTATATATTTTAATAATATTCATGTTGAAACTTCAGCTGTACCCTCAACATCTGCAGAGAACATCTGCTAATTTCAGATTGTAACCATAAATCTTTGCTTGATAAATGGCAAGGACTCTATTAATGTTTGTGAGAGGATGAGCTCTGGGGTTGGTAGGTAATGTGTCCTTAACTGGAGAGCCAGGGTTCCTGAGTTTTGTATGAACGAAGATCCCGACTCTTGACCTCTATTTTTCCAGTGGGGCTGGCTAATCAAGTATTTGATCATAGAATACACTGTACATTGTACATATACAAATTGGCTAGTTGATACTGCTTGTATTTTGATGTTTTGATTGTTGATTTTTTTTCCTCCTCCTCCTCTCCCTGCCCCCTAACATGCTACTTACCTTGCTGGGGCTAAGCCAAGTTCAGAGCCTGTACTCTGCTGCTATTGAAACCAACAAGGACACTCCATGGATTGTGGATAAAGAAATTATTTCATTTGGCAAAGCTGCTACACTGTTACACTGTCAAGTCTACAGAGGGCGAGTCTAAAAGGCTTTCATGGCTCAAAGAGCCTGAAATAGCCTGAAAGCCCAGCCTGTTAAAAGTCTGTAGGAAGAGCTTCTGAAATGCCTTGGCAGGCAGATATACTTGCTGGGCAGTCCTGGGAGACCTGGTTTGATTCCCAGAAGGAAACAATCCATTTCACAAAGTTGTCTTCTGGCCTCCACATACCCACCATGGCATGTGTGCCCCATAACTAACCCTCCGAGCACACACTAATTATTCTTATTATTTCTCTGTTTGTTGGGAAACCTGGGGGTGAGCTGGGAGTCAAGATGTTCCAATATCCTTACAGGTGTCTCCTGGGCTCACTAATCCAATCTTTAGAGACAGAAAAGCCTCTTCCTCCCCCTCCTCCGCCTCTCTCCATTCTACTGCTCCTTCCTCTGCATCCCTCTACCTCCCCCTAGGAATGCTAAGTCTCCTAAGATTAGTGCCCCTTCTGGCTACCCACCCTGTGACTTCCCAGGGTTCACTTTGTCATGACAAGTTTCTAATTGTCTGTAGTCGAATTCTCTCTGACTACCTGCAGTGAAGTATTCCTAACTGGTGCAGAGCACAGTGGCATTTGAGTCTGTGACTGTAGACACCTGCCCTATTGTTATAATGGACGTTCAGAATAGATGGAGGCACAGGAAGGAATCCTTCTGTGAGATGGCCACTTGGGAAACTGATGAAGTTCATTCATCTAGGGACACTTCCTAGAGGAAGTGATTCCAGAAGGAGAAAGAACTTTCTCAGAATCAATCAAAGCAAAGATCCCATAGCTTCCCATAGCTGGAAGGAGGGTACGGGCCAGTTTCTGCAGACTTGAGAAGACCAAATGACTAGGGCAGAAACATTCTGTGGTTTTGTGTGTGCTTTTCTGTGTCATGCCTGAGCATGGGACAGAGGACAATGCTGTTGGTCTTACTCAGTCGCTTGTACGTTTTCTACCATCTCCTTTTAATCTGTCCCCCCCCCCCGTGTGTGTGCGTCTGTGTGTCTGTGTCTGTGTGCGCACTCATACGCATTTGGAGGCCAGAGGTCTCATTATCCTGGAGCACACAGTAAGCCCCCGTAAGCCCCAGGGACCCTTCTGTCTTTTCCTCCCAGCACTAGGATAACAGTTAGGTACCAGTCCCAGACTTGTTTCTGTTATTTGTTTCTCTTCTTTTCCTTTCTCGTGTATTCTATGGATGGAATTCAGGTCCTCAGGTTTGCAAGATAAGCACTTTACTAGCTGAGCTGTTTCTCCACCCCAGCCCTGTTCTATGACTCTTAATTCCAACACGAAAGAGCAGGAACAGAGATTCAGCTGTTACTACTACAGGCCCCAGGCCCATTCCCAACGACACATGGCTGAGATGGCCCCACCTCTTCTCCCTCATCCACGTTCTATAAATTTGAAGATTTTTAAATGTTTGCTGTTCTTTATAGAACAGGAACTTTTTACTTAAACATTATGTATGGGGTTCTCATTACCCAAACTATGCCAAAGTCATAGCTTTCACTAACTCATGCCTCATTATCTCCCAAGTACAATTTAATTCTTTATAAGCATCACATTTAGTTACCACAAGAGGTATTTCTTATTAGCATTTACCACAATTTCACATTCAAGATTGTCAATACAAAATTATATGCTCGACAATGTTGGGACAACCGGTACATAAACAATAGTAAGTGAAAGGTCAGAGAACATTATTGCTGCTGTTGCTGCAAGCTGAGGACTTAAGAGACCAAGAAAATATAAGAGCTAGGAGGCGGAGCAAGGTGGGTGTGAACTCTAAACATTTTGGGACTCGAGTGGACCAATGCTTAGTCTAGATTACAACCCCATTTTTTCGGTATCTTTCCCCAAGGAAGTAGTGCTTAAAGCTGAAAACAAGGACAATTCCAAGTTGGCTTGATGTCAGCCCAAAGTTTTAGTGCTCAGTTGCACAGTCTCACTCCACCATAAAACCCTTTCCTCTTTGAAATCTTGAACTCTGTTTTGTTTTTTCTATTTATTCTTTTATTTTTTTCATTTTCCCTTTCTCTCTCCCTCCCTCTTTCCCTCTATTCCTCCCATCTTCCTTTCTTTCCTTTGAGTGGGTTCTTAATGCAGCTCAGACTGGCTTCTTACTTGCTATAGCCAATAATGTTCTTCAATTTTTGACCTTTCTGCCTCCCTCCCCCCAAGTGCTGGGATTATAGCTATACTTTACGTAGTGCTGAGGTCCAAACCCAGAGCTATAGTTAGTTCCAGGTAGTCACATTCACAACCAAGAAAAATAACCATCACAGTACCCAAGAGCCTCTTCCCTCAAAGTTTCTTTATCACAACAAAATTTGTGTCTTGCTTTGACAGAATCCTTCCAGCTTTCTCTAACTAGATTACTCATCTTTATCCACTCATACCCCAACAGTTCATTTGCTCAAGGAGTTTGACTGCTCTGGTTGATATAATGGCGACATCATGCCCTTGCCATGCACTGAATAAGAAACAGGTGATGGGGAATCTTCACTGTCATCTTGAGTCAATTTCAGAACCATCTGGAATACACACCTCTGGACAACAGGAGCCCATGGGCTGGGTTCTGGACTGAATAAAGGGGTAAATGGGGGTACTGTTGAACATCAGCATGGTCCTTCTCTGCTTCTTGGCTGTGAATGCAGTGTGACCAGCTGCCTCTTGCTCCTGCTACAGCACCCTCTTGTCATGGGTTGCCTCTTAAGTCATGAGCCAAAACAGACATTCTTCTCTTAAGTTGTTCCTCTTCAGTATTTTATCACAATAAGGAGAAGAACTATTAGTACAGTACTCAGGTTTAACTACTGAAGAGGCCAGACAGGTTTGTGGCATTAGAAATGATTATTCCCCAAGAATCTGCAAATCCACTGCTGTGGCATACACAATCCAGGGAGCACGGTGTCCCTAAGGCTAGGAACCATCTTTATTCCTAAACAGTTCATTTTTTTTTAATTTTTTAAATTTAAATTAGAAACAAGCTTGCTTCACATGTCAATCTCAGCTCCTTCTCCCACCCCTCCTCCCCCACCCTCCACCAGCCTCCCCCAACCCCCCACCCAATCCCCAGGGAGGGTGAGGCCATTCATGGGGGATCTTCAAAGTCTGTCATATCATCCGGGGCAGGGCCTAGATCCTCCCCCATGTGTTCAGGTAAAAGTTCAGTCTTAAGGAACCAACATTGGACAAAATGAAGTTTTTGGTATCTCTGATGGTACCCTGACTTGCTTGGCACACTCAAATGCCCACCATACCTCTTGGACCAGTGTTTCTCAACCTTCCTAATGCTGTGACCTCTTAATACAGTTCCTCGTGTTGTGGTGACCTCAACCATAAAGTTATTTTGTTGCTACTTCATAACTGTAACTTTGCTGTTGTTATGAACTGTAACACAGATACCTGATATGGAGCTCCTGTGGAAGGGTCACTTGACACCCCTCCCCCACCAGTGAAGGCGTCACAGATCACAAGTTGAGAACTACTGCCCTGGACCAATAAGGCCTGTTTGAAGCTAATGAACTAGGTTTTCTACTAACAGTCAAAAAGTGTTTTGTCTGAAACAAACTTTCTATCTTTTCCTATCCAAAATGCTGAACTGCTTTAAAGTGGCGCTGAATGTCTGATCTGGGGCACAGAACAGTCGTGGGCTGCTTGTTTTCATGCACAAGGCTTTAGTAGTTTCAGTCC